TCCCTCCTTCCTTCCCTCTCGCCCCCCTGCTTTCTCCTCTCCTTTCCGAGCTCTTGCGCTCTTTTCCTTTCTAAACTGCAATTCCTGAATGTGTGTCATTCTCCAGACCTTCATTCTGTTCAAGGATTTTAATTAGGCCTTGACTCCACATCACCATCTACGCCTTTGTGGGTTGGTGAATGACACAAGATTTGTGAATTCCGCTTTCTACAGTACTAGGCAGCCTCGATAGGAATATTCTTTCAGCAGCAGATACGCCACTTCACTACAATCTGTCTTTTCAGTCTCTTCTTTTGCCTTTTGTGGCTTTTGAAATTATTAAAATGTTAACATGCCTGCAGAGCCTTTGATATTTAAGACAAAAGACAACGCTTTGCAGGCAAGCAAGGCATTCAACAAACTGAAAATAGAGAAGGAAATCAAACCGTTCTTTTTTCCTTTGCTATGCTAAGCTTTCTACTTCGAGGAATCACTTCTCTTTATTTTACTTTAAACACATTTAAAACATGTTTGCATTTCAGGATTCAAAGACATAAATTTAATTACAGGCAAATACAAATGCACATCTATATAAAGTGCAGACTGCCTATGTAGAAAAAGAACAAAGAACACTGCTTGCATTTGCATTTCTATTAATTTGTCAGCAATTGATTCTTGTAGTTGTTATCTAGTTGCCCTCACTGGGGGGGTGGGGATCCTTTCTATAGATTTGTGTGGCTGCAGGTTCAGGTTGAACCCAAGTGCCAGACTGTGGGAAACCATTTCCCTTTTCTCTCTCAAAGTTACCCCCTTGCCCCCCACCAAAAGTAAGATCTCAGCACCTTGTATGTTTAATTCATTTCAGAAACACAAGAAAGCAATTTGCAGATGCAAAGCCTCAGAAATCCCTGATTACAGATTCTCCACTTCTTTGCTTTTCTCCTTTCTGGTGGGCATACCTGCCTCCTACTCCTCCCTGATGCCCAAGGGATAGAGAGTCCTCCCAAGCTTTCCCGGGTGCCTAAGCCACCACGTTACTTGCAACTTCATAGAGATTATCCTTTAGGAAAGCATATCATTTCATATAATAAGCATGTACAACAAGCTACCATATTTCTGTTATGAAATAATGATATGCTAGTACTTTACACTTATAACAGTTCACATACAAATTTGTACACATAGGGATATATTATACATAATAGCAGTCCAAATATTATTTATCAGTTTTAAATTCTAGGTTTATTTTAGTAGAAAATAAAAGCGACATTTAAAAATATTCTGTCTTAAAGGCAGTAAATAAGCTCATTTGCATCTCTTTGGAGAAAGTTGTGGCAACAGGAGTCAGGTTTATCTATCTAGCACAGTATGCAAAGTAGGACTGGCTGGATCAATTAGAGAATTATCTATTTATGAACTGCCTGGTTTCAATAAAAAGAGCTGGTACAATTATGAACTGTTGTCTTGACAACTAGGAAGAACTGATTGGATCATTTTATCATTAGGGTTGCTGATGATTTCGAATAGGAAAAGCACAAACTATCAGAAAACATTAATGAACTTAGGTTAGAGGAGAGAGAAGAGAAAATAGGTGTGTGTGTGTATGACCCCATACATCTGTGTACGTAGGTGTAATTTTGTGTACAAATGTGCATGAATGCATGAGTTATAGCAAAAAGAGTTTTCACCAAAAAGAAGCATGGCAGATTTCTTGGCAAAATGCCAGAGTTGCTATTGCAAATTTCTTAGTAGGTTTCAATGTCAACCTAAGCTCATATTTGAACCTGGAATCAGGGCAAAAGCATTATCGCTCTGTCACTTTGTTGCCAGAAGTGGAATTTTTTTGTTAATATTTTACTGTTACATCTGACAGGATTTCACATTTTCTGAAGCCCGCCTTTAGTACATTGAACTGCCAGACAAAGAAATTAATACCCTGAGTGACTGTATTTTAATTAAGCAATTTCATGCAAATTACAAATTTTAGATTGCCAAATAATATATTGCACAAAAATTGTAGGCTGGCTGATCTGATATGCATGGAGTATTACTCTTTCAGGCACTGTGCATACATGGGAAAATGAAAAAAAATGCTAATTTCCAATCTACTATGCAAACGGTAAAAGATGCCTATTTAGATACATAGGCTTTTCTAAGAAAGGGTAAATAGTTCTTTAATTTAATATAGCTGACACTTGAAGATGTGTTTTTCTCTTTTACAAAGATAGTTTTTACATTGAACAAGTAAATGAGAATTCAAGTAGAAAGCATCTTGTTAATGGCGACTAATAAAAACTAATATTGCATGCAGTGTAATGATATTAAACCTTGTAACTGGTACATAAAGCAAGATCCTACCTATTGTGACTCTGTCAATGAACATC